CTTTCCCTGGTTCAGGTCACAGCCAAGGAGTGACACTGTGTAACATGCCTACCCCTTGCCTCGTGTCCTGCCTTATCCAGGTACAGCCTAGAGAGCAGAGGTGACAGGGCCAAAGGGATCTTTCTGAAACATTTAGTCCTTCAAGACTTGGCTCAGAATCGCCTCCTCCAGGAAGGGGTCCCTGGTGCTCTCGCAGGCTGGTTAATACCCATCTCTCCTCTGCCCCACAGCCTTCTGTGAGGCGGCACCAAGGGTGAGAGCCTGGCTCTGGAACCCAAGCTCCCCGGTTGCAACCCAGCTCTGCCGCTCAGCAGCTGCGACTGACCCTGAGCCAAGGAGGGGCTGCTCTGTTCTCCGGCTCCTGGTCTGCAGGGCGGGAGCTAAGGTGAAGCCTGCTCAGCGGTGTGGCGTGAGGACTGAGGACTGTCTAGGGCACTCGCTCGGAGCAGCAGCCCACAGGTGGCTGGCTCTGAGGGGGAGGCACAGTCTCTGTGTCGGCCTCTCCCTTTCTCACAATCGTGTTGGACTCACTTGTCTTAAATCAAGCCCTTTCTTCCTCTCCCTTCGGTAGCTTGGCTTCTCTGCGCCTCACGCCGGGCCTGCATGAGCTGGGCATTAAACAAAGCTGGTGAACACCGTGTGTGCCTAACCACACAGGCATCGCGCGACTCTTGCCCGCTTCCTACCTGCCAAGCAGAACTCCGACAGTGTCAGCTCCTTTCAGGTTCTTGTCCTAAAATAGCATCGAGTGAGAGGGAGGGCAGAGAAGCAGGAGCCAAAGGGAAGTGAGAGCAGTCGGGGAGTCGGGGATCACGGGTGCCGGGGGGCTTGGAGCTGATCTGGGGTGGTGCTCACACATGGCGGGTCCCCCACTCTGCTGGGAGCTTCCACAGGCCACCCAGGCCACAGACACCGGCGAGACGATCGGTGGGATTCCCACGCTCTCAGGTGGTCGCCGCGTGCCTCCGGCCTGAGAGCCGCTGGGACGGCCGCCAGCGTCCTCAACATGCCATGAACAATGAACGGGAGCTCCTTGGGCGAGGTCTCCCCCTAGACGTCAGCCACGTTGGAGTAGTTTTCCATGACGCTTGACCTCGGCCAGGTGTTCATGTCAGGGAGACCCAGCTCTGAGACTGGGCTCCAGGCGACCGGGCTTTTGCTGACCTGAGAGAGTGCATGAGCGAAGAGGAGCTTCCCCTCCCAGCATGACCCCGAGAATCCCAGACAACAGCAGCAGGGAAATGGTACAGGGGACCCCCGGAAAACAGATGCCTCACGGGCATACCCGAGGGAGCAAGCTGCCCAGGGCGGGGAACACTGCCTTGCCCTGCCCTGGTTTTGTTCTAGGAGACACGAGAAATAAGACGTCCTATCCAAAGTCCAGTGGCTGGGTGGACAGACAGACAGACAAACCATTCTCTGTGAAGCTCCTCCCCGGAGACAGTGGAAGGAGGTGTCTGTAGGCCATGCCGGAAGCTGGACAGTGAAGATGAGGAAGGTCCTCCGCAGGCACTGCGCCACAGGAGCGAGCTCACGGCAGTGACGGACATCTGTATCCGGGACTCACTGGCGCCCAGTCCTGCTCTGCTCAAGAGGAACCGAGCTCTCCAGAGCATGAGGGGGATAATGACCCTGGAGGCCTCACAGCACCTGCCCACAGCGGGCTCACGCTGCAGCCGGAGCTGGGACCCGGTGGGGACAGGCCGCCTGGCTCCAGCCCATGGGGAGCTCAGTGCCTGCTGCCTGGTGGGGAGAACTGATGCCGAGGACTGTGCTCAGCCCCGTGTTGGCTGTGGGGTGCTCTGTGCAGGCCCAATGTGCACCTGGGACCTGGAGAGGCCCTCCTGGGGACCTGCCCAGCAGGAAGGCCCGTCTGCCGTGTGCTTGCTGGCCTCCTATGGGAGTGAGGGGTGTGAAGGATGTCATCTCTCTCCTCCTCCCTGGAGTGGGGACTAGGCTCAGTCCCACTGTCACCACCACATCCCAGAGGCTCTGATGAGAGCGCCTGCTTTCTATGGGAGTCTTTAAGAAGGAGCCTGAGGTGTCACTTCTTGGTTGTCCATCCACCATGTCACGGGGTGGGACAGTGGCACTGGGGAGGGGAGACAGTCACATGGCTGCAGAAGGGGTGAGGGTGTCTGCCACCCAAGTCTGGGTTTCTGGCCTGCCCAGGTGGCGGGCCTGCCTCCGTCTGTAGGTGCCAGGGGCAGGACAGGGAGCATGGGCTGGCACGCTGGCCAGGGATGGTTGCAGTGCCCACAGGTTCATGGGGGCTGTTTGGCTGGGGCGGGAGGACATAGGCCCTCTTCCCAGGGACATCTGCTTAGACCTGAGTCCCTGGGAGAGGGCCTGGTGGAGCCAGCTCACGTCTGCACCAAGGTCGTGTCAACAGAAAGAGCACTGCAGCTCACCATGCCGCTGGCCACCCAGGACCCGCCTGCCTCATGCCTCCTGCCCCATGCCAAGAGACGTGCCCAGTGGAGCCAGCACCCACAGTCCCACCCAGCACACGTCCAGAGGCCACCAGTCTGGGGACCCTGAGTCAGTCTGAACTGAGCTGCGAGGGCCAGGCTGGAAGCAACCCGGTGAGTGGGGCAGAGAGTACCTTGTACCCTCCCCGTGTACCCTCTCCTCTACTCTCCTTCCCTTCCCCTGCCCCTCCTCTTTCTCCCTCGCCTCCTTCTTCAGGACAGAGGCACAGGTGTACCTCCGACCACCTGCAGAAGTTGCAGGCTAGAGACACCCGGAGCTCTGAGTCAGAGGTCTCTGTCAGGGTGTAGTGGGGCGTTCCCTGCTTCCCTCTTCTCGGGCCTCCATCCCACCTGGGCGCCTTCCCTTTGTGGGGCCCCCCTTGGTCACGACTGCATGAAATCTCAGACCCTCCTTTGTACTTGGGGTTCTCATGCTCCAGAGCATCGCCTCCCAGACATGCTGGCTTGGTCCTTCTCACCTGGCAGGACTCCGCTGATTGGGTCGCCTCTCCAGAGTGAGCCCCAGCCACTTCCATGCTAACGAGTTCCTGGTGACACTGCTGCTGCTGTCTCTGGGACCCCACTTTAGGAACCACAGTCAGGAGCTTTGCCTCCCAGTGTGGCTCCGCCTCTCCTGGGAGTGCATCAGAAATGCAGAGAGGCAACATTTCAGCCCAGCCCCTGGGTTCATGTGTGTGCAGGATCGGAGACGCTGTCCTTGGTCAGCAATGACTCTCCTGTGGAGGTTCAGAGAGGCCTCCTCAGGTGTTGTGTGGCGACTCGGGCATCCACCTGCACGGGCATGCTGCAAGACAGTGACTCTCCTATGGAGGTTCAGAGAGGACTCCCCAGGTGTGTGGTGACCCGGGTCTCCACCTGCACGGGCGTACTGCAAGACAGTGACTCTCCTGTGGAGGTTCAGAGAGAGCTCCCCAAGTGTCGTGTGGTGACCTGGGCCTCCACCTGCACGGGCATGCGGGGAGACAGTTTCCCGGTCTCGTGTGCCTGCCTGTCATGGTGCCGAGACCCTGACCACTTTCCCATGGACTATCATTTTAGTGACGGCTGGGCAGAAAATCGCTCTGAGACCTGGAGAACTGACCCAGAGAGAGGTGTGCTTACTGCCTCCCTCTGGGGCAAGAGGGGGCAGGGCAGCTTGTGGCCCATTATAGATCAGAGTTTCTTAGGCATGGGGTCCCTCCCTGTGCCACAAACCTACCATGTGTGCATCACTCACCTGGCTGCTCCGTCCCCTGGGACTTGGGGGGCATGAGAACCTGTGAGAACAGGAAGCTCATGCTCCCTGCTGTGCCGTGAGTCAGGAAGTCCTTTGTCTCTGACCCAGGAGTCTTGTATCTTCCCCCAGTGTCTCTACAGCTATGACAAGCTCACTTGTTCGCTTGCAAGGAGGGGGCAGTCTCAGCCAGGTGGGACGGGGGCCATGCCGGCCAGCGAAGAGTGAGAGACCTGGAGGGTCCCGAGCCACGGCTCCTGCTGCGTCCCTGAGACATGTGCATTCCCCAACCTCCGGTACCTGTGGGCACAGCCTCAGTGGAAACAGGGTCTCCGAAAATGAAAGAAGTTAAGGGTCACTACACAAGACCCTCCTAAATTTCGAGTCTAGGACAAGTATCCTTTTAAAAGACAGGAGAGGAGACACGAGGAGAGAAGGCTGTGTGAGGTCAGGCGGGACGTGGAGTGATGTGCCATGAACTTGCAAGCCAGAGCCCCCAGAAGCACGGAGACAAAAAGGACCCTTCCCAAGGGCCTGGGGAAGGAGTATGCCCTGAGGACACCTTGGTTCCAGACTTCTGGCCTACAGGTCAGCGAGAGGGTAAAGTGCTATTGTTCTAAGCCCTCAGTTTGTGGTCCTTAGTCAAGGCAGCTTTGGAAACTACAGCCATGTTTAGAAGTTCTCTCGGGCTGAAATACGTGGTGAGGCAGGGGGAGAAGCAAGGAGCCCTGTTAGAAGGGGACCCCCACCCCACCCTAGAGCGGACGCCATCTTGCATCGAGGTGATGACAGGGGAGGCAGGAGAGCAGGAGCTGAGAGGGTCTCAGTAATATAAAGGGCCGTATCGCACACACACACACCCAGCACCTTGCTCCGATGGCCTTATTCCGATGGTTATCTTTAATTCTGGATTAAGCCCAGTATCGGTTATCACAGTTGTCACCATGTGATAGGTGAAGGAACAGAAAGGTTTACTGAAGTGCCCAAGATCACACAGCTAGAAGCAGCAGTGTGCAGACTCCAGGCCGGCGTGATCGAGGGGCCCCGTTTTATCTACCCAGGCACGCGGTCACATAGTCCATCAACAGCACTGGCTAGTGAGAGGCCAGTGAACAGAGGGTGACGGAGGACACAGGGTGGCTAGTGCGGGGGTGCTGGGTACAGAAATGGGGGCCTGGTAGGAAGTCTGCTTGGCAGACCGCGGGGTGGACACCTTCTGTGTCCAGGAGGAAAAAGGCCATTTCCCATTCCAGAGGCTCAGTAAGCAGGACCTTTCTGGAGCTGGCTCCCTCCAGAGGATCCCTCCAGCCCACCCTTGTCCCATTAATGACATGACACATGACAAAATGCTGTCAGAAATGGATGCAGGCCACGTGTCTCGGCTTCCTGACATGGAGTTGGAATCTTTTTCACTCCAGATATCAGGGCCTGACTCTCTGGGAAGCAACTTGTCCTCTCCTTCCGGCTCTTCCTGTACAGCATTCTTCCTGGGAGTCCTCCTGCTCAGAGAAAAGAACTCCACTTTTTGAAGTGATCAGAGTTACTATGGAAATAAGCCATTTGCATCCCAATGCAGCTCAGATAAATTCCAGCGGCCCTGCCTGCCACCGCCCTGCCTGCCACAGGCCTTAGTCTAAATGAGGAGAAAACTGCGTGCATGTCTGAGAAGCTCCTGTTAGCGATCCATTTCCCAGTGGGTCTGAGCTCAGAGGTCTTGACGATTAGTGGCTGCTTTAGTGAAGGCTGAGCATAAAAATTTCATGAGCAAAATACGTCTTCCTCATTTTGAAACTTAAAAATGCCCCATTCAGATAAATGAACCCTGGTGCACCTGAAGTACCGAGGAAATTAGGCGTAATTTTATTACCGTATTGATTGCTGCCACCAGGCATCTCAATTGTGTTTTTTCGCCTTAATCAAAGGTGAAAATGGCATCTGTTAATCAAGTTGGAAAATGTTACTTTCCCGGAAAATTGAGCTGAGCTGAGCTGGAGGACGGAGGGGAGGAGGGGCCTGTCAGAGGAAGTGCCCTGCTGGGCAAACCCATAACCTTTCCGCAGAGGCAGAGGCTCAGCAGGGCTGTCAGTCAACAGGCAGGAGGAATAGCGAGGGAACTCGGTGGCGCTCGGTATGTGCCGGGCACAGGCTAGCTGCACGGCGGCGAGCTCTGCATAGCCCCCACGGGTGCAGAAGGGGCTGGGAGGAAGCCGAGGCTCTCAGGACCAGGGACCTAGGGGAGACAAGGAAGTGGTTTCTCATACCTCGCCTAAGCCTGTGCCGACCAGGTGCTTAGCGATTGTCCGCTGAAGGGACTGTTCACCTTGACAGGTACAGAAATGAGTGCTCTGGAAGGCGGTGTTCCTCGGGGGTCCCTTCCCTGAAGGAGAAGAGAAATGCCCAAGTAAGAGCAGAAGTGGGGGGAGAGGGAAGAAGAGTTGCTCCGACTCTCAGAAAGCTCCTGCCTAGGCTGTGGGCAACTGCGAGGTGGACCTAACCTCTTCCAGGACTCAGCCATTAAGGGAGGACGTGGGAGAGGGGTGAGCGTGCTGTCTCTGTTCACCTTTCCCGAGTGGCTGGCTGGGCTCATTCACTCAGTGCTGCCCAGAAAGGCACGTTTTCCCCCAAGGGTTTTGCAAACTGGAGAAGTGGAAGACTGAGGCCGATGTTGTGGCCCCCACCCCACCCCACCCACGAACTCAGCTCGGACAGATGAATGGACTGACGGACAAGCCGGTGTGGGGAGGTGTACCAGGGGCTTTGGATAACGGGGGCTGGTGGAGTCGGTCTTCCACCTGCGGTGGGCGGGAGGCCACCCTGCTGTAGACTGGCCGTATCTTCACCCCGAGGCTTACACAGTCATGCAGCGACCCAGGCAGGGCTGGAGAAAGGGCTGTGTGCAGTGTGTCGTAAACCCTGTGTCAACGGCCGCCCGCTAAGAGGAAGCGATTCTTTTCAGCGCTGCAGTTCTCTTGTGAATAGTGTAGGTTCCACCCGGAGATGCTGGTAAACCAGCACTCCAGGAAAAAAAAGGGGCGGGAGCTCCCTGGTCTGCACTGTTTGCCAATTTCCATGGTATAAATATGCCCATGATGGCCGATTCTAGGCCACCGGTGGTTTAAGCACCAGCTCGTATGTATCCTACATGTTTATTTAACAACCGACTCTCAGAGCCCTTCTGGAGCTGGAGTTCAGTCCCTGTGCGGCAGGCGTTACGTGTTAAACGCAAACACACTACAGATGGCGCTGTCCTGCAACCCTGCGTAGGCGCTTCATTTTTCACACACCAGGAGCCTCAGAAGATGACAGGACAGCACAGACGCTCTTGGTGGTGGACATGGTGCTCGTAAAACTTCTCTGCTTCATTCATTGTTGCCCAAACCTGGGAAGCTGTTTTCCTGTCTCCACCTGCCCAAACCCTCTCCACACTTTCCTCCCTCCACACGCATTTACAGCACTACTCCGACCCCCCAGAGGCTCCACGAAAACGCCCCTCACTCCATCAGATTCGCGGATGTCCCAGTACCGTTTGCCTGCTCCTTCAGCACTCAGATTTTAGTTACCGAGGACAAAGTCTTGGACGGATAGCATTTCCTGAGTGTTCATGGCTTTTCTCACTGGCTAAGGGTTGTTTGAGAGCTCATGTTTTGGTTTGGTTTCTTACCTTTTATTTATAAATCTTACATTTTTAGCAGATTTCTTATTGAAGACTAGCATACTTCCAAAAGCGTTCTTGAGTCCCTAATGTTGGCTGGATGAGACGCCTTACAGTGATACACCCACATACAGTGGGCCAGGATGGCACCATCGGCACAGACGCCCCCTCTGCACCCTCTGTTGGCATCCCCCACACGTCACACGGCGACGGCCTCATCGTGAATCCCCGCACCCAAATTGGCATGGCTTGACTTTTTTTTGGTCATTGTTTATCAAGAGAGAGATTTTTGTTATAGGGCATGTGCACTTGTACAGAGACAGAGATCTCCTCCCAAGATCTTGGACATGTGCGTGTACACTCCTGGCATGGGTTTCAAGTCACCAGGTGGGGACTTGAACTGAGGTTGGCGATGTGGGAGACCAGCGCCTTAACCACCATGCCACCTGCTGGCCCCAACTTGGCTTGTTTTCAAACTTCGCAGTCTGGCTGCCTTCCTGCCACAGCGGGTCTGCCAGACATGTTGTCGCACGGCGCCTTGGTGCCTGAGCAATACTGTAATTCACTGGTCCTTTACCGCTGCAGACCCAGGAGAAACCTTCACCCCTCTGTAGGCCCAAGCTTAAAAATGCAATGACCCAGGTCTCTGGGAGCATGCTTCCGTCCCTAGACCTGTGTCCAATCAAAACAGAACGAGGTATCTAAAGTCTCCACGGTACCGTGTGTCAGGAAGTGAAGGGGTCAGCCCCAGGTCCCCCAGCCAGAGAGTGAGGAGGAGCCCAGCAGCCCCGCACCCCCTTCAGCATGGTTAACAGTCGGCCCCACGCGAGGCTGTCGTGAAGATTAAACAGGACGATGAAATCGGAACTCTCAGCCCATGTGGGAAGAGTGTGAGACTGCTCAGGCTCATCTTGGGACCAAGTCCTCGCAGGGCTGGTGGACACTGGTGGGTTGGGGATACCCGGTGTGCAAACGAGGGGCTCTGGGCCCCCTCCTGCACCTCAGTGGAGGACACGCAAGGTGTTTGCTCTACCAGCCTCCAGTGAGTCCACAGAGGGGCATCTGGGACAGCTGGACCAGCCCCGGCCTGGCTCTCATGGGCGACTGAGGAGCCAAGGGCAGTTGGCGGCAGCCAGGGTTCCAGCCCAGCCCACCGTGCAGACCTGGCGCTCCAGCCAGGGGACAAAAGCACAGTAGTGGCATTGTTGCCCCTTCCCTGTCCCTCAATCGTCCCAGTTACTCATCAAGGATGTTGGCGAGCCCAGCCTGGAACACAACGTCCTTGTCCCTTGATTAAGCAGCGGACACGCTCAGACAGCAGCCCTGCGGGGGGCGGCCGGTGACTTCATCTCTTAACTGTTCAGAAAACCCAGCAGCCAGGGCCACGCAGGTCAACGGAGGGCGTGCCGGGTGGTCCCGTCCAGAGGCCACCCCCAAGGGAAATGATGACACAGTCTCTCCCACAGGAGGGGCGCCGGATGACCGATGGGAAGGGGTGGTGCAGGGGCTTCCTGGGGGAGACTGTCCTCACACAGACCCACGCTCACTGTCCCTCCAGAGCAGCAGCTCCCCATGGAGGCCCTGGAATAAAACCAAAGTCCCTCCCACGAAGTCCTCACAGCCCGCAGCCTCCCCACCCACCCTTTCTGTCGCTGCGTTCCGCTCACACGTGACCCTGGAGCCCACCTGTCCCATCTTCCCTCGGCCTCTCTTCCGGCCCGGACTGGCCTCTGGTCTCTGCCCAGCCCCGCTCTCTGCTGTCTGCCTCTGTCGGGGCTGCTGCTCCCCGCAGTGTGGCTCTCTCTGCGGGAACAGCCAGTCCTGTCTGCGCTGGCCAGTGGCACTTCAACAGGACACGGTGCAGTGCCGGGTAATAAGCAAACAGCCTCCGCAGCCGGTTGTAGTCTGCCCTCAGTGACCTGTGGGTGCTGCTGGCAGGGGCGGGGCGGGAGGCACGGCTGGCCTCCCTCTGCCGCCAGCCTTTCTCCGCCCACCCACCCTCACCTGCCAAGCTCCTCAACCTGCTAAGGGGAAGCTGGGTGGGAGGATGAGCTGGGCCTTCCCCAGCTGGCTGTGTCCCCGACAGTGCTCCTGGAGTCCCCTGGTACTGGGGGACCTCTGTCCTGAAGAGCTGCCCCTTCCCCTTAATGGATCTGACGCCTGGGACTCAAGCACGTCAACCGCCTCTCAAACTCTCCGCCTTTGGGACCAGCAGTTAGCGTAATGGCTATGTCGCTGGACTCCCATGTAGACGACCGTGGTTCGAGTCCCGGACCTGGTGGCTTACTCACGCCAGGCGCATGTGCGTGTGTGCCCAAGATCCCAAGAGGAGAACAGAGGAGAAAGGATTGTGGTGTGGCCATCCCCCCAGGGAGTGATTTCTCGCTTTCTATCTCTCTGTCTCTCTCTGTCTTTCTGATGAGTGCACACGCCCTATAGCAAAAACTTCTCAAAAAAGAACCCCGGAACCCCGGGGCAGCAGGACGGGCTGGTCTCTCTGCCGTCCCCAGGAGCTTCAGCCTGCTCTTAAAGCCTTTCAATAGCTGGGGCAGTCCAGGCGGGTCGGGGCCACCTGGACCACACAGAGCAGGCCCACCTGGACCACGCAGGGCAGGCCCACCGGGATCACGAGGGGCGGGCCCCCCAGACCACGCAGGGCAGGACCCCTGGACCACGCAAGGCCATCTCCTTCACTTCCTGCAGCTGGTCACCCACCCAAATCACACCTTCAGAACACCTGCAGCGACACTTGCAGAAAGCCGGTGGCTGCGGCCTCGTCTTGTGACGCGTGCGGCTGACCAGCCCGGTGGCCTGCCCGAAGCAATACCAAACATCGTTCAGGAATTCCCCACTTGGTCTCAACCTTCTGCTCATGGTCCAGCAGCTGTCCCCCCAGGGAGGCCACACAGGCCGGACGCTCGGTGGATGACCCCTTCCCACCACTCGCGCCATCCTAGGGCAGGGTGGAAAGCAGGGCCACAGTTCACTACGGGCATGGCTTCCTCTGAGGCAGCGGAGAGGACGGCCTCCCTGCTCCAGCGAGACCCCCGTGCCGTGACCTGGATTATTCCAGACCACGGAGGGCACGGTCCCGGGGTACTTCCCAGGGCATAGCCTCGAATGACACCACCCACTTACGGTGCCCACCGCCACCCTGGCAGATCACAATCCTAGCCAATCCCGCCTGACAAAGCACTCTATAGAGAGAGAGACAGAGAGACACAGAGAGAGAGACTTCAAAAAGCTCATGGAAATGTGTATTATGAAAAAGCGATGCATGGATGTTATAATATTTTTGTACCAAAATAAACTTGTGTTTTCCTTCTGCGTCCCCGGTACTCTGTGCAGCCCCCGGCGCACTCTCTGAAGCAACCCCTCCACTCCACCGACAGAAGGCTCCAGTCGAGGCCCTGCGTCCGGGCACCACGTGGCTCTGTGGGCGCATCAGGGGGCTGGACTCTGGCATCTGTGCCCAGAAGAGAGCTTGCCTCAGTGACTCTCCGGGCTCTGGGGTACGGTGGCGGTCGAGGGACGCTCTTAGGCACCTTCTTGGAGGGGACTTACTGTAAGGCTGCTTGGGCTGAAAGTGGGTAGAAGACACCTCAGCAGGCCCTTAGGCCGAGAGCGTCGACTTCAACTTCCAGCCGAAGAAAAGGAGGCTCTGACGGGTGAAGGCGTTTGCGCGGAGTCGAAGGCTGGCCAGCTCCAACCCTGATTCTATTGTGCCCAAGTCCAGGTTCTGCCCTCACCCCCATGCCCCCCGGGGAGTGCAAAGGCGCAGGTTGGATGGAAGACTTCAGGGGCGGGCTGGTAGCTGAGGCCACTCCAGGGGCCTGTGTGACCGTGGGAAAGACTGTCTTCTGGGAATGGGGTCAGAAGACATTTGGCTGGGAAGCGCCTTGAGGCTGGCCAG